CAAAACATGCACAGTATAAAACGGATAGATCGAACACAGAAGACTTGACATCACGCATCCGTCGATCTGTGCCGGCAATCCCATATTTTTCTTCTTTTTATTTGTGAGACATCCCTCAAATTACGGATTCCTTGAACTACCTAAGCCGGCCGGTCCCAGCTGTCCGTGTTACACTCTCTCTCTCTCTCTCTCTCTCTCTCTCTCTCTCTCTCTCTCTCTCTCTCTCTCTCTCTCTCTCTTTCTCTCTCTCATGCTGGATCGTTCCCCATAGCAAATAATTTATGACTAGAGTTAGAAATATTGAATCAAAATTATAAAGATGTATGTAGAGGTCTAGCATCTGCATTTGTTGCCATTTTTTGGTCCAAAAGTTGCCAAAATTTGCCATAAAAGTTGCCTTTAATTTTCAAGCTTTCAAAAGAGGTTACTTAATCTAAAGCACACGAAATTTCGATATATTCTGTTTTAAGCATCCAGAATATCATTTGCAGCCACAAAGAGAGTAAAAACGTGAAAAATGAAGGTTTCACAACAGTATGAAATCAAAATTAGAACAGCACATACAGCCACAAAAGATAACAAATAATGGCGCTTGTCCACCTATCCAAAGATTGTCCGTTTTAACCCTAAACGTGTGTAGATTTAATTCAAGAAAAAGTACACGCTATCACATTTAAATTATGGAATCACAAACAAGGGGGCCTGCCAGTGTCACTTTTCGGTTTTGGTGGCGACACGCTCTAATGTAACACATTTATATATTTATTTTTTAATGTAGGAACAAAATCAAATTAAATGACCGTACGCTATGTAAACACAAAACAATAGAAAAACAACACATCAGAACAATTAAAAAAATAACAAACACCAACAAATTAAAACGCAACAAGGAGGGAAAAATAAAAGACAAACAGCAATATAGTAATAATGTACCTACATTCTTGGAATGGAAATAACTATATGTGGACACCTTAAAGGATGTTATGGAGCTTTAAGATTATATTATGGAGTAGCCTTTTTTTGTTGAAAATGCAAAAATCGCGGGTGCAATTCGCGGGTCGGGGCCGCGACAAACGCAGATGCTAGGTAGATATTGCACTAGTGCACTGTAACTGTATTTCATTGAACCATATCCTTCACACGTTGCATGTATAATGTATATTATTTTATACCATTACATTCACGATTGTCAATAAGCCAGTACTGCACAGAGAAATGAATTTGTTGTTTTTTTCTCTATGAAGTACATAAAGTAGATTTAAATATCATTATTATATTATATCAATTAAGTGTACAAAACTCGCTGAGGGGAACGCACAGTTACAAGGCGTTGCTGCCGCATAGACCAGGAAGCTTAAATGCAGTGCACACACATGCGTACTTGTACACACGCACACAAGCACATTCACACACACATAGGCATACACAAGCACACACACACAGACAGACAGAGAGCGAGAGAGAGAGAGAGAGAGAGAGAGAGAGAGAGAGAGACAGACAGACAGACCAGACAGACAGACAGACAAACAGACAGAGACAGACAGACACAATACATAACCATACACATGATGTTATGGTAACAGCAGACACATAGCGGAGGAATCGGAATTGGTGCTGTTACGTAGTTCTTGTCTGTACATCTCTTTCTCTCTCTGTCTCCCTCTCTCTCTCCCTTCCCCTCTCTCTGTGTACGTGCGTGTGCATGTTTGAGTGTGTGTTCGTGTGTGTGTGTGTGTGTGTGTTTATGGTGTGTGTGTTTATGTGTGTGTGTGTTTGTGTGTGTGTGTGCGTGTGTGTGTGTGTGT